AGATGAACATCATTTTCATCAAGTACTTTTAGGACTTCTCGAATATGATCCTTATGTTCTATAAGAGACTCAGAATAAATAAGGATGTCATCCAAATAAGCTGTTATAAATTGATCAAGATAAGGACGTAGGATATCATTGATCCAATGTTCGAACGTAGCAGGAGCATTCGCTAATCCAAAGGGCATCACCGTATATTCAAAATGTCCGTATCGAGTCCGGAATGCCGTTTTCCATTCATCTCCTTCCGCTATTCTGATTTGATTATACCCCTAACGTAAATCTAACTTGGTGTAATATTTTGCTCTTGACAATTTGGCCAAAGTTTCCTTCAATAACGGTAATGGATAACGATTTTTAATCGTAATTGCATTGAGGCCCCGATAGTCGACACATAAAAGAAGAGTTCTATCAGCTTTCTTGACGAATAGTATAGGTGCTCCCGCTGGTGATTCACTATGGCGGATAATTCCCTTGGGTAGATTTTCCTGAAGATAATCCCAGAGTGCTTTCAACTCAATTTGGGATAGAGCGTATATTGGTCCCCATGGTGGTTGTGTGCCTTCCTCTAGTACTATTTTCATATCATGGAACGGTCGATGTGGTGGAAATATTGAAGCATCATATTCCTCAAACATATGGATATAGCGATGGAACTCCCTTGGTATTAACTGTTCAATATCGATAGTCGGTTTTTCAACTGGTGAAACGGTAACGGTATGAGTTTCCGGTAAGGGAGTCGATATGCCATGCACTGTAATTGCGGTTCCACTGAGCGAACAATATTGACAGCAGCTTTGAGAGTCGAAAATAAGCAAATTTTGCTTTGGTCGAATTGTAACATCATGACGTCGCATCCAAGGTATCCCCATCACGATCGGATAATGTCCCAACTTGGTCACAAAACATGATGCAGTCTCTCGATGGCCATGAATGTCTAGCGAGACATCAACAATATGGGTAATCTTTCCTGACTTGATAGGTCTGCCGTCTATAACGTCTACATGTCGGGGTGTTTTGAGTGAGGTCATGGTGAGATTGTTGTTGCGTGCAAAAGATTCATCGATGAAAGCATATCCTGATGCTCCGGTATCAATAAGGGCGTAGGAGGGTACGAAAGTATTTTTATTCTGTGAAATTGAACACGTTACTACAAATTGGTTCCCATCCATTTCCTCCTCTGATACAGAAAAACCAGAAATATGAATCCTAGAAAAATTCTTAAATGGTCCCTGGGCTAAGCCACTTAGTGCAGGGACAAATCTTTTGCCGACTCGTTATCGCTTCCATCATTTTCCTCTACCCTCAATGCCGCTCCTCTTATCACCGGTCTTCTTGGTTGATTTCCAGTTGCCCTTGCTTGGGGGCAATCTCTAACCATATGTCCGACTCCTCCGCAATAGAAACATCGGCCCTCAGCTAAGCGGGCATTTCTTTCAGTAGGGGTGGGGCGACGACGTCCCCCGGACAAGTCCATGGGTACATCACCTCCCGGGTGGAACGAGGGGTGGTTCTCAGGAGTAGGTGCATTGACAGCTGGGGCGGCAGCACGAGGAGTAGTGGCAGGATTCGCTGGTGGGGGGCGAGGGGTCGGAGCGGCAGTAGCACTCCAAGGCTTTTTGCTTCCTCGCTTAGCCTCCGCCGCTCATCGTCGATTATCTAACCGTTGCAAAAGTGTCGCGCAGGCGTCTACTGTCGCAGGAGTTTCATGGTGTATCATCGATTCATCGAGTTCCACATTAATACCCTCCATCAAAGCCTCAATCCGAGGAACTTCATCCATTCCTGATTCGGCAGCGTACCATTGAAATTCGGCGAAATAGTCAGCAAAGGTTCGATTTCGCTGACGGATGTTCCTGAGATTCCTTCTAGCTGTGCGCATTCGATCAGGGTCCCCGAACGCAGTATCTAAGATTTCATAAAACCGCAACATGGAAGGCAAAGCGATGCCTTCTTCTCCGACATATTGTAAGAACTGATTAGCGGCAACACCCTCCAATAGGCTGAATGCGTGGGATAACTTGGACTGTAGTGTGGGAAAGCGGTCGGCATTTCCCAATAGTTTAATCCTCATCTGTTGTTTGAATAGGTGTAATCTTTCTCGGTCGCGATCTCCCCTAAACACCTCAGGATCTGGGAGCTTTTCCAACCCCTGGGTAGTAGCCACAACGGGCGGTATTGGAGGCGCGGGTGGAGCATCATCACCACCAATCGGTTCTTCATCAGGGGCAACTACTTCAACAGCAACCCGCTGGGTTCGAGCAGCAGCATGGTCTCGTTCGAACATTTCCCTTGCGTTTCCAGCCTCCCTCTCCACCTCTTGTAAGTCCGTTGCATACTGAGCGAGACCATGTTGAGCCCTTTGGAGAAGTGTGTAAGCTTCTATCCCGACAGTGTTATCGACCTGTGGATGTTCTTGGAAGAAGGTTTGAAGGGTATCGCTTAGTTGTTGGTAATCGATAGGAACGTGTTCCGACATTGTAGGCTATAATGTTGTATTGGTTGGCGATAAAGGACGCAACTTGGTGTAACGGGGGTCTATGGTCGTAGGGACTATGATGCCAAGGAATACAACCGAGGCGAAGACGTAGCAATAGGTATTCGAGACTATGGGCTATGGAGTGGCTCTACTTAGTATGACTAACTGGTTGAACCCTATGATGAGGCGTAGAACAAAATAGTATTTGTGGAGTACATACAAGATAGATAGATATTTTTTATATTGCATAGAAGCACATGGCTTATCGCACGCCTACACTACCGCCAAAGACAAAAGAAAAGTACGTACAAAATACCGCGCGACATGGTGTAGATGAACAGAGACTAAGCGACGAACAAAGTAACATCACTACGGTAGAAATGAAATCCCAAAAGCTTCTCCGTCAAACAACATAAAGTCAATCGTCTATATACCCGTTCACCATAAACCAGGATCATTACCAATGCCTAATAGGAAGTACTGCACGAAGGCGAGGCGAGAGACCGCCGAAGCATCAGGTGCGAAAGCATAGGGAGGGGGTGTCGATGGGGTCCCTGAGAGTCTGCTCGTCAGGCAGCAGGGAGTTAAGGTAGGAATGGCACAGAGGCCAAGTGTAGATGGGGTGAGCGTGAGCCGCTACCTGTTGGTGGTCTTTACAGTGGTGACCTTCGAACTCGATTTCCGTAGTATATGGGGTGGTCGCAATCGTGGGTGCCGACCGTGTCTTGATGGGGTGGCCTCGGTTGTAGTATCGGGCCGATCGGGTTGGGTGAGCGGGGAAGCCGACTCGGTTAAAATGGGTTGCCTGGCTAGGGCCGTAAAGCGAAGTAAGGCCCAACGAAGGGACCTCGCGTAAGGTAAGGATCGAGTGTTTCGCAGCCGTAAGGTCGCTAACACCGTGAGCTATCGTAGGCTTTGGCAATGGGTCTGCGCTGACCTCCAGACTATTGACAGAGTGCCAATACGACGTAGGCAGGGGTAGCCTCGAAGGGCTGGTCGTTTGGGTGTCGCGATCGGGGGCGCCGACGGGTTTGAGGAGGGGTAAGAAGAAGGACGGCTCCTAGTAAAAGGCTTCAACTCGGTAGATAAGGGGACGTCTCGCTCAGGGCCTGAAGCAATTCGAGAATCAGGATGTCGAAACGGGAGGGGGTCCTGTCACCCGCGCGGTCGGGCGTGAGTAGATACAAGAGGTTCCGTGAAGAGAAGAGGAAAGGAACGAAAACATGAAAAGGCACGAGACAACACCCCCTTATATATCCAACTCTTAGTCCGTTGATGACTAATACCCCGCGTAATGGAAACCGAAAGAACATAACAGAAACCCCATTACAAATCATAGTTCAACCGCGCAATACCTCCTCTTCATAATCCAATCTATCGCCTTAGCCGAAATACGATATTGCCATTACATTTACTCTCTCCCTTTGATTTACAGTACATTGTATCCGTACTTCTACACAATTCACATGTTTGCTTGCATCAACCTCAAATACAACATTACTTTACTGTTGATGATATACCCGAAGATTTTTCCCAACAGGATATGCCAGCGCTTGCTCAACCCCCATCATTGGAAGAATATTTTTATATATTGAATAGGAATCAAGACTGAGAACTGTTCCCCGGATTTCCCCTGTAACGGTTTTGAATTACATTCCCCAAAAGATTTTGCATAATTTGATTCTGTTCCCGCCTCTGTTCATTGTCCCTCTGAATTGCCTCAACCAAATCATCCAACTTACTGCAGATACCCTCATGTCTCTCTTCTTCTCTTCTTTCTCTTTCCTCTAATGTGTCCTTTTCCCTTTTCTCCCTTTCTCGCAATTCCTCTTGAAATTTCTCAGTACCCGCATCCAAATCCTTCAAAATATTCTCCATTTCAACGGATTCAAAGTTCTTCGTCCTTTTTGTTGCAGGTTGGGTTTGACTGGGAGAGCCCGAGGTAGTATCGTTTACCTGAGCTGATTGTATATCTCTCTTTTTAACCAGTCCACCTAGAGATCCTACTCTTACTACATTTCCTTGTTCCTTTTTCAGTTGCAGTTTTGCTTTTGCCTTTTTACGAATCTCTCGGTCAACTGAAACAGAGTCGGCAAGTAGAATAAAATTATCCATAATGGAAATGAAATCCGTAACCTCCTCATTGGTACCTGTTGCTTGCCTTGCTTTTGTCTGTTTCTGCTAGAAACCCGTCAGATGAATCTGTAGATCATTGGTTATAGATAGTACTCACTCTATGATACTCAATCAATTTACTTATTCGGTCTTTACAAGAAGCCCAAAACCATTGCATATTCAATCATTCTAGATTCTTCGCTATCTCCTTCCATCTATCCTCCTTTCTGCCTTCCCTGTTTGTTATCGGGTCTCGAGCCAATACCCCTTTAGCTAAAAGTCGGTCCTCCCAAGGGAGCCATGATCCTCCTCTTTTTCTCACAATACTCTCTTGTGACTATGAAACCAGTGGCCGCTCCGCATTCCCTAAACCACCTTCGCTATTCAGAATATTGCTGAAATCCATTCATATATCATTCTGCGGTGTAGTGGAGACTTCCTGAACGTATCGGGAACTCCCTGGTTGTAGCGGTGCCTTTGTGAGCATAGCAGACACCTCCTGAGCATAGCGGTGCTTTTGTGAGCGTAGCGGACACCTCGTGAGCGTAGCGGTGCTTTTGTGGGCGTAGCGGGCACCTCCTGGGCGTAGCGGTGCCTTTGTGAGCGTAGTGGAAACCCCCTCGGTGTAGCGGGCACCTCCTGAGTGTAGCGGGCACCCCTTGGGCGTAGCAGGTGCTCTAGGAGGGTAACAGAGACTCTGGGTATCGTAGGCCCTCATAGCAGATAGTTGGCCGTGATGGCAGGCCCTGATACTAGGTAGCGGGGCCTGATACTAGCTAGGTAGTCGGGCCTGATGGTGATGATGGGGAACTGTAGCGGACAGTGATGAGGAACTGTAGCAGACAGTGATGAGAACTGTAGTGGACAGTAGAAGTTAGTAACATCCTTTACTTGACAGCGTACTGAAGGGGAAACCTGATAGTTCGTGATTGGAAGTGATCGGCGATTGATGACATCTAGCGCAAAGTGAAGCCCCACATCCGGATCTCCATCCTGACTTCTTGGCGACAGGGAGAATAGATGCATCCAGCGCAAAGTCTGTATTAGAGGGATTCTGCAACTTCCGTTAGCTATCAGTGACCCGGGTAGTGAAGTTCCCTGTAGTGCAACAAGCGGACAGTTGACAAATGAGTTTCTGCAACCTAGGGATTGCTATTGTGCCGAGACTGCCGAGACTTTGATTAATGGGTGCGCGATCAGGTTTTCTCTTTATCAATGAAGTCGCGCGCAACAACAAAATGTCTCAACAGAACACAGGTATCCGTGTTCCAGAAAGCGCCGAGACTGCCGGGGTTCAGGGAGATGCTCCAGTGGTAATTGTAAGTGTTTTTGAACAAGATGTGATACTGCGGATGGTGTTCAAGTTAACGATCTTCAGGATATGGGTAGTGTTAGGCAAAAGCGCGCATACCTGACAGATGTGGACAAAACCAATTTGATGAAGTTATGTGTCGAGTATCAAGCGGAGCACAAGGCAGGAAAGAAGACTGCGTTCTGGAGCATGATTAGCGAGATGCTGCTGTAGCTTGAAGGAGGAGGCTTGCCAGTGAGGTTACGTGATCCACAAGGAACAGTGAGAGGTCTGGTGGGTGCGAGGAGGGCAACCTTGAAGAAGCAGGAGAGGGAATCAGGGACCGTTCAGGAGGAGACTGAATTGACGCAAGCAATTGATCAGGTACCTTAACCTATTTCAGTTCAGAAAATAGTTTTAACAATGTGTTTGGTGGATTGAGAATGAAAATGATTTGGAGCGCAACCTTGAAGTGCAAAAGTTACCTTCCGTTATTGAAAGGGAAGCGCGTGAAACTGCAACTCAGCGTATGAATTTTGTAAGGGACCGTGTGCAAAGGCTTGGTAATGGGGTCAAAGAACACTAGGGGGCTCTTGGGAAGGAGAAAGTAGGCTCGCACGATGACGAGGGTGGAGTCAGCGGTGTGCCCGTGGGCAGGGACAATGGTCCGTACTAGGACGGAGGAGACAGCGGTCGGCGAGGGGACCGAGGGGAACAGCGGGGTAAGCGAGCAGAGGGCCACGAGGGCGACGACGAGGAACATAACGGTGGATGCGGAGAGCATGATGGGCAGCAGACGTAACGGGGACTGAGAGTAAAGAAGTGTATTGAAGCGAAGTAAATCCCCCAAAGTAATAACTCAAAGTAAAATACAAGATGTTGCGTAAGGAAAGAAGTAGACAGTGAGGGGGCAAACACCCCTATATATAAGAAAGAGAAACAAGCCGATTACTAATCCTTCGCAGAAACTTCCGGCGCTTTCCGATGACTCAGGCTTCCTCCGTGTCGCGGTAGTGGTTCGTAACAGTTTAGCCCCTCCTCTCGAAGAGCGAGCTCCTGCGAGCAGGTAGGCGAGGCAAACGTAAGTACATAGCAAGTCAGCAAATGGTTGTAGGCGAAACATCAGGGAACGTAACATAGAGCGGTTTCATTTGCGAAAGAAACCGTAACAAACTATACTTTCCTACGCAAGGTCCTCTTAAGGATTGCCGCGGGTTTGTCAGGATATAGGGAGCGGAAGCGTTGCAGTGCCCCTAATTCCGCATCGAGATTCCGAGCCGGTTCCCAGGTGGGTTGTTCGTAGCCGGTCCATTTGACTAGGTATTGTAGTTGCCGATGCCGTATTCGGGAGTCCAGTACTTCCTGTACTCCAAACTCTTCCTCCCCTTCAACGATTACCGGGGGCGGTGGTGGTTGTATGTGGCCTGGCAAAGGTTGGGTCCGAGCAGGTTCTAGCAATGAAACGTGGAATACTGGGTGGGACTTCATCGAGGCGGGGAGTTCCAAGCGGTAGGCATGTGATCCGATGCGTTCGAGTATTTTGAACTTCCCTAGCCGTTTGTGATCTAGTTTATCCGATGGCCTAGTGGTGCGTATGTGTTTTCTCGATAGCCATACCATATCTCCTACTTCGAGTCGGGGCTCTGGAAGTCGGGCGGTGTTTGCACTATCGGCGGCGGCGGCTTGTGCATACAGGATCTCTGATCGCAGGGCAGCCTGTAAGGTGGAGATTGAGTTCGTAAATTCCAGTACCTCCTTCGGTGTGACTTTGCGCGTTTCTTCAGCAGGGAGGACGTCTAGTTGGGGATTATACCCATAGTTGGCAAAGAACGGGCTGACTCCCAACGGTTCCGTAGAGGCATTGTTATGCGCGAATTCTGCCAGGGGAAGGAACTCTGCCCAGTTATCCTGTTGGTAGTTGACGTAGCCCCGTAAGTATTGCTCCATGATGGCGTTTACCCTTTCGGTCTGTCCGTCTGTTTGTGGGTGGAAGGCTGTGCTGAATCAGGGTTTGATGTCCAGTTGGCCGCAGAGTGACTTCCAAAACTGCGAGGTAAAGGTTGTGCCTCTATCTGATACTATGTCTTTCGGCAGCCCGTGTGCTTTCCAGACGTGTTGTAGGAATAGTCGGGCCAGTTCCGGGGCGTCGACGGTGTCTCTCGTGGGGATGTAGTGGGCCATTTTGGTTAGCCGGTCGACCACCACTAAGATGGCGTTAGATCCTTGGGACTCGGGTAGGCCTGTAACATGGTCCATGGATAACGAAAACCAAGGTTTGACTGGGGGAGCCAATGGTTTGAGGAGGCCATACGGGGCATGTCGGGCCGGCTTAATTCGGGAGCAGGTATCGCAGTGGTCCACATAACGGGCAACGGACTTCCGCATTTGGGGCCAGTAGAAGTTCCGGGATAGTAGTTCCAGCGTGCGTGCCCGTCCTGGGTGTCCTGCCGAAGGTGCGTCATGGTGGGTGCGGAGGATCTCCAACTTGATAGCGGCGTCGTTAGGGATGTATAGTAGGCCTTGATAGTACAGTAATCCTTCCTTAACTGTGCATTCACCTATGGGTAAGAAGCGGGAGTGTTTCTTCTCGGCCGCGATATCCTTCATGAGTTGTTTGGATAGAGGGTCCTTGGCCAGTGCGGCCTCTAGTTGCCTTTGGCGGGATGGTGCCACTTTGGAGGGTGTGGGGGTCTGTAGTGCGGCTGCCAGACGAAGGTTCTTTGGTTTTAGTACAACCTGGTGCTGCTGGGTCAATCTTTCATCCCCTTCCTTAGGGAGATCTCCAGATCGACGTGTGAGGGCATCAGGTTTCCCATTCTTCGTACCCGGGCGGTAGGTGACTACAAAGTTGAAGGAGGACAGCGTTAAGGACCAGCGGGCTTGACGACGGTTAAGGATCTTTGTGGACATGAAGTGCTCCAGGTTCTTATGATCGCAGTACACCGTGGTTTCTTGGTTGTTGGGTTCCAAGTACTTCCGCCATTCTTCAAACGCGCGTACGATCGCTAGCAGTTCTTTGTCATAAATGTCGTAGTTGCACTCGGCTGGCGTCATCTTGTGGGAGTAGAACGCCACAGGGTGTAGGATTCCCTGGTCGTCCTTCTGGGAGAGTACCGCTGCCGCGACAAAGTCAGAGGCGTCTGTTTCCACTATGCACGCTCGTTCGGGGTCATAGTGCCTTAGTACCGGGGCGGTGGTGAAAGCTTCCTTTAGTTGGGCGAAAGCGTGTTCCGCCGCGGTTGTCCATATGAACGGGGCGTCCTTCTTCAACAGATTCGTCATGGGGGATACTACGTTGGAGTAATCGCGGATGAATCTTCGGTAGAAGTTGGCGAACCCCAAAAAGACCTGTACGTCGTGGACCGAGGTGGGTATCTTACACTCCTGGATCGCCTTTGTTTTGTCGGTTGCCATGGTGACCCCTTCGCCGGATATGATGTACCCCAGGTACTCGGTACGATCTACATGGAACTCACACTTCTCTGGCTTGCAGTGGAGGCCCGCGGCTTGTAGTTTGTCCAGGACAATGCGGACATGCTGCTGGTGTTCTTCGGGCGTGTTGGAGTAGATCAGGATATCATCGAGGTACGCCGTGCAGAAGTCGTCCAAGTGGGTTCGGAGGGTATCGTTCATGAAGGCCTGGAAGGTAGCGGGGGCGTTGGTGAGTCCGAATGGCATGACCAGGTATTCGAACAGCCCGTACCGGGTTCGGAAGGCTGTTTTCCATTCTTCCCCTTCCTTGATTCGGATTTGGTTGTAGCCCTGGCGGAGATCCAACTTGGTGTATATCTTGGCGTCTTTTAATCGGTCCAAGGTGTCTTTGATCAACGGCAGTGGGTAGCGGTTCTTGATGGTGACTGCGTTGAGGGCGCGGTAATCCACACATAGCCTTGAGGATCCGTCCTTCTTTTTGATGAACAGGACTGGAGCTCCTGCAGTGGACGAAGATGAACGGATGTACCCTCGGGCTAGCTGGTCATCCAGGTATTCCCGCAAGGTTTTTAATTACTCCGAGGACATGCCGTACAGGGGGCCAAAGGGTGGTTGCTTGCCTTCCATCAACGGGATTTCGTGATCGATGTACCGGTGGGTTGGGAGCGCTTGGGCCTCGGATTCCTGGAACAGGTGGAGGTATTGGTGGTAAGCGGCAGGGACCAGTTCATCGGTTGATTGGGACGGCGATGAGTTTGGGCTTGGGGCTCGGGCTGCGAGGAGGAAAAGCTGGTTGTCCGGTTGTTGTGCTTCTCTGCGGAATCGGGCGGCGGACAAGGTAATCGTGCGGCGGGGGTGGCTGGCCTTGGGGGTATCGGCGGCGGGCGCGAGGGGATGGCGGTGCTTGCTCTCGGGGGTATTGGCGGGGGCGGCAGGGTGGCGGCGGAGGCGGTCAAGGGGGGACAGGTGAGGGAGGAGGTCCAGCGAGTTGCAGTGTGCTGTTGGCAGCGTTCGGCGTGGAAGGAGATGGATCGGTCGGCGAACCGTATTTCGGCAGCGTGGTGTTGTAGCCAGGGGAGTCCGAGGACCACTTTCACGTCGCCGAGCTTGGTGACAAACAAGGAGGCCCCTTCCACATGATCATCCATCTCGAGGCGGAGTTTGCAACAGTGGGTGATGGCTCCGGAGGCGATGGCTCGTCCATCGATCACTTGCAAATGTCTTGGGGTCGCGAGTTCTTCGAGGGGATATCCGCGGGCCTTTGCGAAGGAAGCGTCAATGAACCCATATCCGGTGGCTCCAGTGTCCACCAGCGCCTGGAGCGCGTCCTTGTTCCGAGATAGCCGTATTGGTACTTCAAAGGGTTCGCAGTCGCCGGGGTGGTGTAGTTGTCCGATCTTGAGTTTGGCTCCTACCCTTCTCGTCCGTAAGAGTCGTGTGGCCGTGTGGGCGCCGGGGGCGTTGGTGACGTGGGCTGTGCCCCCATGACGGGTGACTCTCAAGGGGCGTTGATAGCGAGTATTCCGCAGGGTACGATATGCAACAGTAGAAGCTGTCGAGTTAGTCAAGCGAGGTCAAGCGAGGTGCAGAGGTCTTCGTGGAGAAGAGAAGTAACAGCGTGTATATTGGTATTCAGCGTAGATATAGAAGTGATTCTACCTGGTAGGGTATGCCAGGTACGAACAAGTGTATAGCAGATTGATACAGAAGATAGATAGATAGATTTTTATCTTGCTTTGAAGTACAGGACTTATCGCACGCCGGACCCTCCGCCATAAACATAGGAAAAACAAAGAAAACCGAAGAAAGCAAAGGAAAAGAAAAAACGGAAAGCAATGAAGATCACGAGAAGGTACAGAAAAGGAAAGAGAAATCAAAGAAACCTATCGTCATTCCTCCGGGTCCTCCTCGTCCATTTCGTACCAGTCGAGTAGGTTGGTTTTTGATGCGAATTGTAGAATCAGTTCTACATTGAGGTTGGTAAATAACCAGTTTTCCCAGGTGTGCGGTCCTGGGATTTTATCCATAAGTGGCCTTCGTATTTGGGTCCATCGCGGGCAGTCGATCATGGTGTGTTTGGAGGATTGTTCCGAGCCACATTGGCAGGGTTCAGGTTCCGTGTATGCTGCGTGTCTGTCTAATCTGGTGGCTTGGCATCGTATGCGGTGTATGAGTTTTGCTTTGGATCGGGGGAGTTTTGCTCGTTTGGGGTGAATTTTAAGGGTTCCTGGCTCATGGTAGTTGGTGCATGGGATGGAGTTCCATTCTTCCAGCATGCGTTTGGTGAGGGTGTCGTTTTGGATCCATCGCTCTCTACGGTTGCCTGGTTCTTGGAAGGGTAGCATGAGTGATGCTATTCGGTGTAGGCCTGTGCCTTTTATGTTTTTTATCTTGGTGGGGAGGAGCTGTATAAGTCCTTCGTTGAGTGGGTGGTCGGCAGGGTGGCAAAGGATACGCGTCCCGTATTTTCGTGATTTGTGGTTGAGGAGGTGTTCGAGTGGGGGGAGTGCTGCCTCTTTCAGCAGTCTTTCGGTTTTTGTCCAGCGGGGTAGGCCTGTTATTATTCTGGCAGCTTCGTTATAGAGTGGGGATAGTGATCGGAGGATGTGGTCGGCTCCCGTCCACCATGCCTCTGATCCCCATAGGATGGTGGGGAGGAAGCCTTGGACGATGAGGTGGTGGATGGATTTCACCGTTGTCCCAGGAAGGTGTGCGATGTTTCTGATTCTGCTTGGGGCTTTCAGGCCTTTGGCGGTGATTTCTTCGATGTGGGGTCGGAAGGAGAGGTTTGAGTCCAGCCATACTCCAACGTATTTGAGTCTATCTTTAGGTTGGATTTCTTCTTTTGCGATTGTTACCGAATTTCTGGGAGTTGGAATGTTCGATGATGTGGGTTTGAAGAAGATCAGGTCGGATTTCTGAGGTTCGTATTTTATATTGAGGGGTGCTGCTTTCTTGACCCTCTCTGCCATTCTTTCATTGAGTCTTTTGGTAATGAAGAGGGGGGACTTTGCGAGTTGTACCAGTGCATCATCGTCGATATAGGTGGTGTTAGTTTCTTTGGGGGAGTTGGTGGGGTCTGTTATCACCCCGGCATATATCATGAATAATACTGGGGAGAGGGGGGAGCCTTGGGGTAGTCCTGAGGCATATGGTTGAGGTGGTTCCAGTTCGTGGTTGAATTGGAATTGGAGTGTTCGGTTGGTGTTGAATTCCTTGCACCAGTTGGTTAGGTATGTTGGGAATTTTTGTTGGGTCATGATTTCTGCGAGTAGGAGGTGGTTGACGCAGTTGAAGGCTCCCTGTATATCATTTGTGAGGAGGGCTGGTCTGTCTGGGGTGGTTCCTGTGGTTCGTTTGATTAGGAGGTTTTGTTGTATGGGCGTAAGAGTCCGTAGTAGGGCATCAATCGCTGAGATTGTTGGTCTTCCTCCAAACTGGTCTTTGCTGAGGGTCTCCAGGATGGATCCGGCGGTGCATAGTCTTGTTGCCACTATCTTTTCCAGTACTTTGCTGAAGCATTGTAATAGGGAGATGGGTCGGTAGGCTTTGGCTGACGAGTAGTCGGATTTTCCTGGTTTCGGGATCGGTATGCATTTTGCCGCTTTCCATCGATCCGGCTGGACTCCATGTCGGAGCATGGCCGAGAACATGTCTTGGAAGAGTTGGGTGTTTGCCTTGATTGTTGCCTGTATAAACGGGTATGGGATGTTATCGGGTCCGGTGCCCGAGTGTGTCGGGCATGATCTGATTGCGGATGTAATTTCTTCTGTGGTTACTTCCTGAAAATCGTCACTAAGGTCAAAAGAGGGGGGTCTGATTTGGAGTGGAGGGTTGCTGGGGGACGTCCAATTTGTGGGGAAGAGTTGGGCTCTTAGAGCTTGGCACTTCCCCGCAAACGTTTCTTCACCTTGTATAGTTGGGATTGTAGAGTCCCTTCTTTTCCCCGTGTTGACTAGTTTCCAAATGGTGCTTCCCTTGGCTTCCATGAGTTCTTTTTCCCTTTGTTCTGTCTTGGCTTTTCGGATTGCTGCCGTCCATTTCCTGCTGGTCTTTCTGAAAGATTCCCTATCTTCGTCCTTTTGGGTGTTCCTGGCTTTCCTTTCTAGTGTGTTGAGGGTTGTTTTAATTTCCTTCAGCTCTGGGGTCCACAATTTTTTGGATTTAAGGTGTCCTTGGCTCCATGGGGTTACTTGGTCTATCAGGTTGTCTATATGATCGAGTATGAAGTCGACCGATTGCTTTGTGTGGTTCTGGCTTTCCCATGCTTCGGGGGGGAGGTGGAGGCCTGAGATGTTTTCTTCCAGTTTCTCCCAGTTCGTTCGGTGCCATAGTCTTCTGGGGATATGGGGGGGTTTCTCTATTCGTAGTTGCAGGATCGTTTTCCCATGATCAGAACCTGCTCCATATCGGTCGATGTTCCAGCGGACGTCATGGTCCAGTACTGGTCCTTTTACGAGTGTCAGATCGATGATGGTCGGTCTATTGTTGTTCCTAGGGAAATGTGTAAATTCGCCTGGTTCGTTGAGTAGGGATAACTTTTGTCGGTCTATCCATCTTTTAAGCTTCTTGGATCCCGATTTGTCTGCTCTAATCGTGTTGGTGTAGTCGTGGGATCTGTGTCCATACCAGAGTTGGTGGTGGCTATTAAAGTCTCCCATTACGAGGCAGTTTTGGATGGTGATTGTTTGGTGGGAGATTTCTGCGAAAGGTCCGCTTCGCCCTGGTGAGTATATGTTGAGTATTTGTGTTTTTTGGTTCTGAATTTCCACCGTGACGGAGACGATGAAGTTGTTGTGCGTGTAATGGTGTTTTGGTTTTAGGTTGGCATGTTTTCTGATGTATGTGGCGGCTTTGGTGCCCTTGTTGCTGGCTGTAAATAGATAAAAAAGAGGAGATTCCGGTGGGTGGCCGTCCTTGTTGTTCCATGGTTCCTGTAACAAAAGAAAAAGTATGTTGTGGTCCTGTTCTACTTCCTCCACTACTGACTTTGTTGTTAGCTCGTTTTTCGCGCAGTTCAGTTGCTGTGCGATAGCCGTGGTTCTTTTGATGTGACTCATTGGGTGTTGTCCATGGCTGCGTCTTCTTGTGGGGGTTCTTGGGCCGGGATAACTACGGGAATTGGTAGCGGGCTTGGGTTTGTGTCTGGTCCGAGTCTGTTTGTGATTCGGACTTTGGTTCGTTCCGGGCAGTTGGCGTCTGTTGCTTTGTGGGGGGCTTTGCAGTGATAGCATCGGATAGGTGTGTGTGAGCATCTGAGGCCTCCGGCGCATTCTGTACATGGGTGGTCTTTGGTTTGGTGTTCCTCGGCACAGTGTCCGCATCTTCCGCTGTTGGAGCAACGTTCCTGTCTATGGCCGTATTCAAGGCATTTGGCGCACTGGGTCTCTGGGTTTGCTGGGAGGTAACTGTCGATTTTGCAGTTCCTGTCGAAGAGGGTGAGGTATCGGAGGCCGAGGTTTTCTTTAGTGAATTGTCCAGGAAGGGCAATGATCATGGAGGAGTGTGACTTTCCGATCCTGGCTTCTGGTTTTGATAGCCATCTCGGGATTTGTGCCAGTTCAAACGTGTTGCCGTAGTTGTTTCTAATTTTCGATGCTAGACATTGTCCTGCGTCGAAAGCTTCGCCTATGGAGGTGGGGATGCCATGGAGGATGAATTTTGACCATCTGGAGTTAATTCGGATGTCGACGAAGGGTATCTTTAGTTCGTTTAAGGCAGTTTCGATTTCCTTTTTATATTCAAGGACCTTTGTCGCTGGGGTTGCAAACTTTGATTCCAGGATTATGTTATTCTTGGTTGTTTTCCTGGCGGCGATTAGTTGGCAATCGGGGTCCTGGATTTTTGCATTGATCTTGGCTCTGATATCTGATGGGGTGATTAGGAGTTCCTTATTGGTTTCGATCACGATTTCCCGGTTAAGTTTGGTATTTCCGGTTTGAACAGAGGGTCTGCTTTGGGTTTGGTTTTCTTCTTGTTCGTGACCGTCGTGAATTCGGGGTTTGTGTTTCCTGCCGCGGCGGACGCGTAGGATTTTGGTGCCGGTGGAGCCAGTACTTCTTTAGCTTTTCCTTTTGGCTGTTGGGCATGGTTGGGGTGATTGGGGTTGTTGGCGGGTGTGGTGGGGGCGGTGGTGGTGGCGGCAGCGACGGCGGCAATTGCGGAGGTTCTTCCTTCAGTGATTGCTTGGTTGCTGGGCCTGTTGACAGAGAGGTTGGTGAGCTGTTGTTGGAGGCGGTGGAGTTTTTCGGATGTTTTGTCCTGGTTCTTTGTCATTTCAAACATTTGTTTGGCCAGGACGTCGACGGTGTGTTTGAGGGAGTCATTTTGGGTAGATAGGACTTCAATGATGGCTTTTAGGTCCCTGTTGGTTTGTTCGGTCGTTTGGTTGAGGGGTTCGAGTGCTACGGTGAGGGCGTTTCTAACCGCCCAAGAGATGTAGTTCAAGTCCATTCTGGCGTGGGTTTCCTCAGGAACGATGCTGGGGTGGATGTAATCGTATTTTGGGGCATATGGTTCGTTGTATTGAGTATGTTCGGCGAAGATGGAGAAAGGTTCGTTACCGAGTTGGGTTTGTTCAATCGTGGTGGATTGTATTTGTTGGGTCGATTGAGTGTCGGGAAAGCGGGGGGGTGCTGGGGTTCCTGGAGGGGGGGCCCCTGCGAACCAGGAGCTCAGCGAGGCTTGCTGGGACATCACTGATGTTCCGGATCGGATTGGGTTAGGAAAGACTTCTGATAGAGTCCTCTTTCGGCCCGCAATGTTTGGTGGGTTAG